TACTTAACTCTAGGACATCTCAGAGTAAACTAAGGTAGATAGAATTCTTTCTATAGTTACTTTTGCCCATTTTTCCTACAATAAGATAGGAAGACAAGAAAAGAAACTAACACCCCAGCTATAGAACATCTGACCTCTGCCTTATTTCTGCCTCCTAAGGATGGTAGACAATACCGGAGAACCTGAGTGGTGTGAGAGGTACATGAGGTAGTGATGAGTTTCATCAGGCAAGGTTTGTTGTTACACAGATAACGTTCACCCCTAACATGATCAACTGCCATGCTTAGCCAATCAGTGTTCTGATTATTCTTTTTACTACCTAATTAAGACTAAACCTCCATTAATTAGGAAATCTTCATTCTTTTTAAGAACAATCTGAAGATGACAGAAGTGGCTGACAACTGCAAACTCAAGACAATCAACAAGGACCAGGACAGATGTGTCCCAACCTTTTATTTTCAAAATTATACAGACCTTTCAAACTAAAAGCTCCTTGGAGATATTCTATTTCTACCTCTCATTTTGCAGTGGTCACACTGAATCTGAATGTGCTCTTTAGGAACAGCATTGGCACTGTCAAAAGCTCCTACACTTCTTTGGCACATTACGTGATGATGAGCCTTATGAAGCTTCAAAGCATACTGATGACTGGTCAAAGACAGATTCCTGTACTTTTCATCCAGGAGCAAGAAAGTACACTGACTGGTGAAGGTGCTCACAATGGCAAAAACACAAGGATTGCCTGCTTTATGCAAGTCTAATGATACTTGCTAGGAGCAGTAAACAAAGGAATAGCAGTGGCTTCCCGAAGAAAGAACTATAATTTCAATTCAGCAAGAGAGTAAATAATTACTATTGTACACACATCATTCTTTAAGGATCTATAGCACCAATCTACCGAAAGCACTTAGAGCTAAATTCTGAGCCCTACTAAATGTTTCAGAGTGCTTATTATCATCAGTGAGGCACAGGGTAAAAAATGAAGGATATCAAAAGGCAGAAATTATTACAGATCAGTATAGATTTTAGCTTTTACTTTAATGCATGACTCCTTGGAGATCAAAACAAATGCAAAGTATTATATGAGCCCTTTTTCATGATTTATGATTCATGTAATGGCTGCTGTAGCTGAACCCATTGACTCGGCAAGAATTTAGCATCATTGTAGTTTTGCAGCAGCATCAAAAGTGATTGCTCAGGTCTTAGCAGTGTTGTATTATGGACTAAGTGAATGTATTTTTAGAATTTAATGCTGCATTTCAATGTCATTTGAAAATCCACCATATAAAACTACAGCGCTCAATGCTGAAGCAAAGTCTATTGAGTTTCTTAGAGGAATATGGAAAAATAAATTATAAAACACATTATTATCGACGGTAATAGGCTTTGCACTTGTTACAAGTAACACATTTATTACCATGGCCTCAGTCTAGGACAGCAAATCTCAAGCAAACATTTAATTTGCTCAGCCTGGTTCAACAGCATCTAAGATAGAAGCAGAAAAATTTATTCCTAGAGGAGAATGATCACATGAAATCACCAAAACTCATACATTTTCCCTGTTTTAAATAATTCCTGTGTTTCTTTATATAAGAAATTCTCTATTTTTATTCTTGGAAATTACTCTGTGTTGGGAGCTAGGAGTCAGGATCTTGCTCAGATCTACTATATTATTTGGGTAAGTTACTTTGCTTTCCTTGGCCTGCTTCAGTTTTCTTATTTATAAACTGGAAAGAATGAATTTATTCTTCTGAAGCTGGCTGTTCAGTATCAGCAATATCTAAGGAATTTCCTAAAAAGTCTAATCTTCAGGTTTTAATTGGTTTGAGGCAAATCCTACAGATTTGCATTCTTTTTAAAAAAATTTCCCCCGATGATGCTGATCTATAAACAGCTTCACAAATTAATAAGCTACGTGATTTCAAAGGTCTTTTTTGGCTCTGTGATTCAATAAAATATGCTTGCTGTAAAGGTTACAATTCAGAGGACATTCATTTTGGAATTATAAAAAGCTGATTGCAATTAAATTAACCGTAACGTTGAAACTATACTGAAGAAATGCTTTGAAAATCTAAGAACAGTCAGTTCTAGGATATGGCTCAAGGTCATTAGTATTATGTACTAAAGGTATGCACATTAGGGTCAATTAGGAGACATGTTTATGAGATGAAAGACTTAATTCACATTGTGAACAAAGAAATAAACCCATGTTTTATATACTACTTTTGGGATCATTCTCCATCTATAAAGGCATTTTTGAGATATTTTTTATGAACAGTTTTTAAGACAAATGGGCTTAGTGACCATGTAGTTTTATTACAATAGCTGTCCCTGCCCATCTCCCAAAACAAATACAAATGAGCTGCAAAACTTATCCTTAAATTTTTAAACTAATCCATTTTCCATATGGAGTTATTTGGCATAAATGATCTGACAGAATATTGGAAACTGTCTAAGCCTAATTGGAGAATAATATTAAGCCTTCTCACTGATAATATTAATGTGATTAGGCCACTGAGGCAACTGTCTATGGAAAATAGTCCTGCCTGCATCAAGAGTGAGTTTTCCACTCACAATGGCGATGAAATATTCATTGAATTCTTTTAAGAGCAGTGTCCTATTATTCACATGGTTTTTAACAGGTAAATTAAAATAATTTTCGCATCATCCAGGATAATGCCTGCCAACCCTGATTCTTATTGCATTTTTAGATGTGGATTTTAGCACCTGTAATCTCTGGGAGTCCACATTCAGGTCCCGCCAGAGGCAGGATTCAGCATCTGCACAAAGGCCAATGGAAACATCTGACTACATTGATTTGTTTCATTTATTCATAGGGTAGCAGAGCTGCTGAGTCAGTGTGTTGGAAGTCCACCTTTTAGTCATCTAAAAGGCTGGCCTAAGAGATGAAGATTAACGCTTGTTAAAAAACAAAGAAGGCAGAAAGATTTGAAATAATAAATCCAACAAATCTTTTTAATTTTCCTGGATTTTCTCACTGTTCTACCTGGAGTTTTAATTATTTTTTTGTAACATTTAGTCATGGTTTTGTAAACTTATTTAATCACTGAATATTATATAAAGGAATTGGTATTGACAATTTAACCGAGTAGTGCCATCTCCAGGACCTGGCATGTTGGGACAAACAGTAGTGACAGATTGATGGTGAAAGGAGTTCGACCAGGGGTGCTGGGTGGCTCAGTCAGTTAAGCATCCGACTTTGGCTCAGGTCATGATCTTGCAGTTCATTGGTTCCTGCCGGTTGGGCTCTGTGCTGACAGCTCAGAGCCTGGAGCCTCCTTCAGATTCTGTGTCTCTCCCTCTCTCTGCCCCTCCGATATTCATGCTCTGTCTCTGTTTCTCAATAATAAATAAAAACGTTAAAAATTTTTTAAAAAGTAACTAAAGTCTCACACCATGACCCCTTTTCTCGAGATTTCCAGAGTGTTGCTAAAACATTGGCAGTTTTGTATTTTGCTTTGTTTAATACAAAAACAATCATCCAGGCAGTATTTCTTATAAGAAGGGAGAGAATCTACCAGAGAGATTTAGCAGAAAAGTTAAAAATAAAGGAAATAGAAAAGAAAACAATGATATAGCAGATTTAAATTTGAGAAAGATCACCCTGGAGGCAGTGTGAAGAATGAATTGGAGAGAGCGAGAGAACTGAAGGACAGAGATTTGGGGACAAGTTTACTCCTGCTCTAAATCCCTGACTGGGGGCAGGGGCTGAAAGGGGGCTTTAAGGAGGTATCAGCCACTGGTAAATCAAATATATTTGGGGTGTAGAAGATGGTTTTATAAGCCTCTAGATTGGGCAAATGAATAGATGGTGGTGCAACTGAATGAGAGAAAACTACTGGAGGAGCAGGAAGTGGGGGTTTTTGGCAAGATGGTAAGTTTGTGTTAAAGCAAAGTTTGGAATGCCTACATCCTTATGGCATAGATAAAGCTCTGGGTTAGAGACACATTCAGAAGTCATCAGCATAGGCGAATGGAGTGGTCAACGTTTTATCCAAGAAGTAAGTGGACTGTGAAGGATCTGATAGCACTGGCAATAGTAATTGTTGGCAATGTTCATTGGAGACCATGGTGGGGGCAAAAAATCATCCTAAGAGTGACTGAAAAGTCAAATTTCAGGGTTGGAAAGTAAATTTTCAGGGAAGAACTGAGAGGCAAATGGGGGCCACAGTTCTAGGAAATTTGAAAAGGAAGTCAAGAGGCAAAAACATTCAGATGGGTTTGATATAGGACTCTTACCTAGGGTAATGGGCTGAAAAGGAAAGAAAATATATTTTAAAACAGAGGTGAAGGGGGGGAATGAAATAGGAGGTACTATCTGAGATGATATACGAATGGAAGGCACTCAAACTCTGAAGAATATATTAGTTTTAGAACAAGAAAGATCTTTCAGCAAAGTAGAATTAAAAATGACAGGAATAAAAACAGATGCCAGGAGATTAATTTAGAGATTGAGAGAGGGACAAAATTTTAAATATTACAAATATCAGGATTCTTTTAAAATAAAAACCTATTTAATATTATTAAAATATTCAATATTAATAGTAAAAATTCTCAAATGCAAGAAAAAGTAAAAATCTAATACAAATAAGGACACAAACATGTATCTTCTCCTCTCTCCTTCTGCAAGTAGAACCAAGTGGGGTTTTTTTAATCAGTATAATTTATTGTCAAATTGGCTTACCTACAACACCCAGTGCTCATCCCAAGTGCCCTCCTCAATGCCCATCACCCATTTTGCCCTCTGCCCCAGCCCCTCATCCACCCTCAGTTTGTTCTCTGTATTTAACAGTCTTTTGTGGTTTGCCTCCCTTCCTGTCTGTTTGTAACTATTTCTCCCCTTCCCTTCCCCCAGGGTCTTCTGTTAAGTTTCTCAAGATCCACATATGAGTGCAAGTATGATATCTGTCCTTCTCTGACTTATTTCACTCAGCATAATACCTTCCATTTCCATCCAGTTGCTGCAAATGGCATGCTGATAAAATATGGAGCACTTCACAAATTTGTGTGTTATCCTTGCTCAGGGACCATGCTAATCCTCTCTGTATTGTTCCAATTTTAGTATATGCACTACCTAAGCGAGCACAGTAGACCCAAGTTAGTACATCCTATTATCCTTCATGCACTGGGAAGATCAAAAGTGTTAATTATGCTTTAGGGTTCATCTCTGTTCTTTCTTTCCTTTTTTAATCCTGAGCTGTTTATTTTAACTCCCCTGTTTTTCAAATAGTCATCTACACCACTGAGTTTTCACATTTTCCAAACATCTCCCCAAAATAACTTGTTTCTTTACACTGGGCTTAAGTTACATCAAGGCAAGAGCCACATTCCACTCATCTTGAAAATTCCACAACAGAAATACAGAACTTTAAACATGGTAGATCAGCCCAATCCATTAGAGCCTTCTGTGATGATGGGACTATCTCTCTGTACCATCGAATATAGTAGCTACTTGCTACTGTGGCTATGAAGCACATGAAATACAAAGCTAAAGAATTGGATTCTTAATTGTTATTAAAATTAAAATGTGGTAGTGTCTACTGTATTTAACACTACAGTTGTACACAATTTGTATAGTGTTTTGATAAATTTTTAGTTGGCTTTTTTTTTTGAAGTTGTCCTTCAGGGCTCCCAGTAGATTACAGGGAGCAAATTGGAGGAGAGAATAAAGGAGTGAGAAAAAGTTCAATCAGATAAAGGAATCCCAAAGAAACAGTGTTATATGTGGTCACATAATCCTAATTTCTCAACTGATGTTCACAAGGAGACTGAATCATCTCAGGAATGGATCAGTACCAGGAGCACTGTATAAGCCCAAGTTTAATTTTCAGAACAATTCCAAGAGACAGAAAATTTTATTTTTCTTAAAAAAATCAGAAATTTAAGCATCTTAAAAAAAAGTTTGCTAAATGGTAAAACTAGAACTTAACCCGTCAGCGCCAAAACCCATGATCTTTGCTCTCACCATGATGCCTAATACCTAAATCATACTCCTCACACTCAGCACTCTAAGAATATACATACATAACATACTTTGAAAAAATTTCTCAATAGCTAAAATTTGAAGCAAATCATTACAATATGTAAAGGGATAACTCTTCAGCTAATTCAAAAATATTCATTCTTCAAATGACTTATGGTCTAATGATTCTGGGCAGACAAAATGATGCCATATTCATTTTAGGAAGTCAGTACAGATGTGGTAAAACATTCAAACACTGAATTTTTCTCGTATGAAGAGTACGTTAAATCTGATATTAACATAGCACTTTTTTTAATTTGCCACATTTTAAGAGGAAAAACAATATCACTCAGAGATTAACTGTTTTCCATTACCTCCAAAGAATAAAAGTATAAAACTTATTCTTACCTTTTTTTTGTTGCCAATGCATATTCCTGTTATCCTTCACGACAGACTTCTCTACAACTTCTTCATTTTTTAGGTCCCAAATGATGTATCAAAGTATATATAGTTCTTTTCAAAGCATTCTTAATATTTAGTGAAGAAATACATTGAAACTATATTTTCAATGTTTCCTGAGATTCAAAGAAATGTGAGGTCTTTAAGACGTGGTGCTATGGTCAAAAGGATGCACTTACTGCCTCCCAATGTCTATAAATATGTTCTGGTTTCTTAAAAGATGCACAAAATAAAACTTTATTGGTTGTTATTAGTAATCTGATTTTATTAAATTTACCTTTGCTAAGAAGGGAAGCCAACTACTTAAATATTTTTCAAATATTATACTTTGTATACTAGGATTTTTATTTGCCTTCAACAGTCTTTCTAATTCTTTTTACTGTCGTTCCATATTCTCTTTCTGAATTATGATCATGTATTCTATTCTGGTTGAAATACCCCTCATTTTCCTCAAAAATGTGGCTGGTCAACAAAATCATGAAAGAGTAAACATGTGAGGCAAGCTCAACCTCTTTCATCTGTGACTTTTCTTTTAAAGTTCCCCCTGGCTTTACTAAACTGTGGGTTGTTATGGCTGTCATTGTCTTAGCTAAACTTAGACCCCAATTTAGATAATCATAGGATAAAACCCAAAGTGACGTACTGTTTCAAAAAAAAATACTGATACCCCTTCATATGGACAAGGGTGGCAGAGACACACTGCATTTAACATTCAGCCAGTTGTCTCAGAATCGGACTCTGTTATTTCAGTTGTCAGTGTAAATGTAACTATAGAGAAGCAACTCAGGAACAATTAAAAAAAAAAAAAAAGCACCCTGCTTTTGGAGTTTCCTCAAGCAAAAATGCCTTATTAGGAAAAAATCCTTTTACAAAATACAGCAATATAATCAAGAATGTATGACGTGTATTTATCTAAAAGAATCATGTTGTAGAATTTAGCATTCTTCATCCCAACCCAACATATTTGATTCAATTCACATTTCTTGAATGAAATTAAAGAATTGTGTAAGCAATTTATCTTAATAAAGCATGCCACATACTAGTCCTCATTCCTGCTTCAAAGATAAACAAAAGCAAATGACAGAAGGGTCTGAACATCCCATGGGCTTGAAGCAATCCTTTCCAGTTGGAAATCCCCTAGATGATTGCTCACACTTCCCGGTAGGTACACACTACAAACCATTAGGAATAAACAAATTATGTAAAAATAGAATTTATATGGATTTTATCATTGCAATCATAGATGCAGCATTTTCTTAATAAGTTTACACTAAAGGACTAGAAAATTAAAGTATTGGGTGTAATTCCACACAACTCACTGACCCATCATGCAAAAACTGACCTGCATCTTTCAACACAGTACCTTCTCCGGCTCGCTAATTACTCAGCTTCTAGGCAATCCTCGACTGAGTCATTAGCAATCACTTCCTGCTCTTAATGACCCTATGGGATAGGAAATGTAAATTCAGAGAAACTCAACTGCTATTTAGCACAGCTTTAGAGACTGTGTGAGCTCTACAATCCACATGCACCTTGGACAGTGTAGGTGCCCTCCAGCACACTGGTGCACCCACATCCCACCTGCTTTGGGAATCGGCTATTACTGCCTCATGGTTGCCACTTGCTTGGGAAACTACCCTTCCAAGTTTGACCTGCACTGGTTAACAAGGTGTTAACTCTTGCCTCAAAGATTTAACTATGGTATAATTTGAGTTCCTGAGATTCCCCCACCATCACAGTCAAGGCTTTTTCCTTTGCTTTTTCCTGCTTCTCCCTCTCATGTGGGTCTGATATCACTTTCCAAACAAATCACATTCGCTAAATCCCCATCACACATTCTGCTTCCAAGGAACTCTCATCTAAGACATATAGGTATCATTAAAACATCAAACTGGATATAAAAAAAAAGAAAGGCGAATTGAATATATGACATCAAAAAACATTGGGAAAAGAAGATTTTACCAGCACAATTTTTAAATGAAGCTGCCACACGGAATATGATCTGCAATTCAATTTACCACTTATTTTCTACGTATTTGGGTCCATTCTTTATTTTTAAAATGGAAATTATAAATGTACTTACAGTGTTATAAGAAGGTATAAATGTATAGTTGCAATGTATTATTTAGATACTGGAAGTTGACAAAAATGTTTCCCTATCTTCTCTTTAAACAGTTTTCTTAACAAGAGAAAACAAAACCTTTAATTTTTTTTTTTTAACATTTATTCATTTTTCAGAGAGAGACAGAGCATGAGTGACGGAGGGACAGAGAGAGGGAGACAGAGAATCTAACACAGGCCCCAGGCTCCAAGCTGTCAGCACAGAGCCCAACGCAGGGCTCAAACCCAAGGACCGCAAGATCATGACCTGAGCCAAAGTCAGACGCTTAACCAACTGAGCCACACAGGTGTCCCTCAAGCACTCTCTAAACATGTCTACCAATTTGTCAAGTTTTTCTTCCTTTCCTTTTCTTCTTTCTTCACAGTATTGAGACCTAGGAAGGACTCTATTTTAACGTTAATGATGCTCAATAACTATAATTGCCAGTGTCTTAAAAATCAGCGTTTTCCTCAGAACACTTTCTTAATCTTTATTTGAGAGGAGGGGTGGTTGGCAGAGAGAGAAGGAGACACAGAATCCGAAGCAGGCTCCAGGCTCTGAGCTGTCAGCACAGAGTTCATTGTGGGGCTCAAATTCACAAACTATGAGATGATAACTTGAGGTGAAGTCGGAGGCTTAATGGACTGAGCCACCCAGACACCCCTTCTCAGAACAATTTTAATGGGACATTCCCCAATTGTGTTTAGATTGAATATTCCAAGGCAGGGACTTTTGTATCCTTAGTGCCATTCACAGTGACTGACGCATAGTCAGCATACATTATCTGTTGGTTCAGTTTGGAGTTCTGCTTAGAGCATTAGAACCACATAGGAGTGTCGGTGTTCATAATGATTAAGGCTGTGAGCTTTGGTATCTGACAAAAGCAGAAGTCTCTTAGTAGCTATGCAAACGTGTTGCATGTGGTCTTGACATCTTTATAATCTTTATTAATCAATATAACAGCATTCATCCCATAGCTTCTATGGGAATCTAATGAGGTAACAGTTAACATGGTAAATGCTAAATAAATACAATTGATAGGAATAGTCATATAGCCTGAAATTTAGACTCCATATAAAAACCTAGTGATAAGGGGGCGCCTGGGTGGCTTAGTCGGTTAAGTGTCTGACTTTCGCTTAGGTCATGATCTCGCGGTTCGTGGGTTCGAGCCCCGCGTTGGGCTCTGTGCTGACTGCCAGCTCAGAGCCTGGAGCCTGTTTCTGTCTGTGACTCCCTCTCTCTATGACCCTCCCCTGCTCACGCTGTCTCTCTCTCTCCTAGAAATAAATAAAACAAAAAATAAAAAAAAAAAAACCCTAGTGATAAGGGTTTCTAATAGTGAATTCATGGTCACTTAAATAATACATTTGAAACAGCGTATGGTTGTTGCTATTATTTTCCTAATGGTTATAAGTTGACCATCAGAAGACAGTTTTCAGAATTATGAAGACAGAATTTTTCCAAGAATTCTCAACAACTGACAGCAAATCGTCAAAGGATAGCTGAGAGCCAGCATTAATACCATCTTGTTTGATTATCCAAGACACCAAGATGCAATAAAAAC